ATCACAAAAATAAATTGAAAATATGTTTAGAGTGTTTACCTGACCATGCAATTGCAGCACCAACTCCTGCACCAACTGTGAGCTGTCTAAGTGTATTTCCCTTCCATGTCATAAGAAAGTTTGCTTCTTCAACTGATATCTTATCCTGAAAATATTTATTTATTAATCTGTAATCACACCTCTTTAATAATTAGTATGTAATCTACTAATGATGATATGCATATCCAGACTATGAATTTTCTTTTATTTTACACTCTGAGAAGAATGCACATTTGGTTTTATAAGGAAGAAGTATTATAAATAAATGGATTTACTTTGTCATTCCAAAAGGTATAATCGTATCCTATGATCATTTCCCACCTTAGCAAACTACACGTTTTGACAATTGATGTAAATCTTCCAATTCATCCGGTTGAAATTGGTAATGATTTGTCAACTTCAATCTAAATGCAGCATTTCTAATACAATCCCTTTAAGATAGTTATCGAAAGAACTTAAAGAAGTTCATGGAAGTAGCAACTGTGAAGCAATTGTGCATAAATTGAAAAGTCAAGTGGGGCTTTTTCCCCCTTTGATGTATTTTTCTAATCATTAGAAAGCAATCGGAATTCTCGGAGATAAAAGCAAGTGGAACACTCACTGATCCGAACTACATTATGAGTGTAAATTGTTTATGAAGAATTAACAAAGATTATAAACAAAGATAGAGTACTAGAAAACGAAATCACAGAAGGTAAACAGTAGTGCTATCCAATATTTCTTGAGTCTGTATAGAACGATGCAGATCATATGTGCAAATACACAAGTGTATAGAGTACCTTCTTGAAGCGGAGGACGTTTTCAAGGTCAATTAGGGATTCTGCCATTTCAATTTGCAAAGAAGCACCTCAGAAAAACAAAAACCCTCTATGGAATCCGTTGGGGAAACCGGAATTGCCCGATAAGCAAGGTACGGAGTGTGGCACTTGGAGTCGGGTCGGATTCAATATATGACCCGTTTCTAAAACATTTGTATTCATGATTTCATGTAAAAAATATGGAAAATGATTTAACAAGGTAATAATTGTTGGTTTTGTTTATAGATAAAACTTCAAAAATGGTTCATGTAGTTTTATAAAATCTGAAGTTTGGTCCCTAATTTACAAAAATCTTACGGATCATCTCTGTGGTTTCAAAACTTTCAATGTTTAGTCCTTCCGTCTAACTTCATCAGCTTTCTACCGTTAAGTAAGAGGAATTTTTGTCATTTCAATACCGAATGACCATTTATGAAGGTTTTATATTATTTTAAATAAAAAAACTAAAAATAATTATTTTTTTTTCTTTTTTCTCCATCTCCACTGAGTTCTGCTTCTCCAACTCCACTGAGTTTTGTTTCTCCAATGATTACAGGTGTTTCATTTCCAGATTCAAGATCCAAAAAAATCCAAGTCCCACTACGTAGATCTCCAGCTCCGGTAAATTCGAGTCATTGACAACCGACGAATTCAACAAACTTCTTTTTCTGTGAATTTTGGGTCTGTGAACTTAAAACAAAAGCGAAGAGTACTCTCTATTTCTCACTCTGTATTTATGTAGGAATCTTCTGGGAAGAATCGGGGTTGAAATTTTTATGGAATACATGGGTCCTAATGTTTCTTATCATGTTCCAAGGGTTGAACCATTAGAAGTAAATTCTCGTTCTATCCCTATTGCATCTGTAGCCGAATTATTTTTAGATTCAAAACGATCCATCACTCGTGAGGCCCCCTTGTAATTGAACCCATACCTTTGCTAGTTTCTTATAGAGCACATGTGACAGATTCCCCCAAATCAAAGTCTAAGATTATCAACGAGTTTTGAATCTATAGTTTATGTTTTGCATAACGATGATTCATTTTCAGCTTCCCCTTCAGGGTCTCCTAGTTCTTCTCAAAACCTACAAGTTGATGCTAATGGAAACGAAGTAAGAAGAGGTCGAGCTCTTGTAGTCATTTTCAACACAATCGATAGATCCGAGAGGAAAGACGTGGGGCCCGGATACTCCGAATACGTTGCAGATTCTAAAGAATTGAAGAAGATGAAGACAACAAAAAGACGACTTTCTTACAAGTGTGGGAAAAGGGAGGTGGGAAATGAAAGAATCTTGTTTGGTTTGTGATCCAAAATATTGTAGTAATTGTGTTCTTAAAGCAATGTGATCGATGCCCAAGGGTAGAAAGTGTGTTACTTGTATTTGTGAAGCGATTGATGAGTCAAAACGTCTTACTTTATGGAAGAATTCGAGGTTGTTATCTCGGTTGCCTAGTCCTTTGGAAGTGAAACAAATTATAGAAGCAGAATAAGAATGCTCTGCTAATCAACTAAAACAGAGAGAATGGAGAAGGGAGGTGTGGATTTGGCTTTCTTTTTTATCGAGAGAGAGAGAGAGAGAGAGACTTGCATATTAGATTTTATTTATATATTTATTTAAAAAAAAGTAATAGAAAACCTCATAAATGATACCTGGGTAGTAAAATGAAAAAAATGCCCCTTACTTAACAACTAAATGGTAACGGAGTAAGCCGGAATGACCAAATGTTAGAAGTTTTGAAACCATAGGGACGATCCGTGAGGTTTTTGTAAATTAGGGACCAAACTTCAGATTTTGTGAAACCACAGGGACCATTCTTGAAGTTTTGTCTTGTTTATATTTGGTCTTTTTTTTATACTTAATATATCATTAAAATTGTTTATGCTCACCTAAACTATTGCGACCTGTTATTGTATGTTACTGCTTATGTGGCTCTTACATGGCATTATATGGCATCTATGTGGCTTATTAAATGAAAGTCCTACGATATTAAGCTATTGTATGCTTCATTCTCATCAATTGTGCCCTAGATCGACATGGATGCTTCTTCTTCTTCTAAACAAAATGTTGAATTTTAACCTCAATATCTCTGTGATTGTGGGTTACCATCTCGCGTACGTACTTCACGAACTAAAGATAATCCATGAAAAAATTCAAATTCTGCCCTAACTCCATGGTAAATCAAATGCTTTTACTTTTTGGTTTAATGTTCTTCTTCTAACCAATTTGTTTATATTTTCCAAGAACGAAGGTCCAAAATGCAAGTACTAGGAATGGTTGGATCCTGAAACCCATGAAAATAACTTCAGTTCCACAAAAACAAGTGAAAAAGAATTATACAATTTAACCCTGAAAGTTTCTATATAGGAAAACGAGATCAACATAAGCAAGATGAATATGGAACAATAATATTTGGTTGTTAGACAAGAGTTTGAAAAATTGAAATGCAAGCTATTTACTCATAAAGTTGTAGTAACATCCCAAAATCTCATGCTAAATTTTTCTTTTTTAGAATAATAAAAGCATCCATTTAAAAAAAAAAAAAGAAATGCATGCAAGGAAACCATTTGTTCATAAACCATTATTCAGAAATCAAAGTTAATAAGAAGACAATGTGGAGTCTCAAATCATAAATTTGTTAATGTGTGTGTGTACAGTCCTGCCTTCGCAATCCGATAAGCACCTTCAAAATATTTAATACCAACACAAAGCTTAGTGAGTTCCCCAAAATATCTCATACAACACAACATATTAATAAACTATGGGTTATCAACAACCCTAGGACTATCAGCAGTCTTGAATATCACATACAACACACAATATAAACAATATAGGTTATCAACAACCCTGCGGACTATCAACATTCCAAGTGGGCTAACAACACTCTCTGTGGATTAATAGTACACCTCACGGGTTATCAGCAACCCTGGGGACTATCAGCAGTTCCATGGACTTACAGCAGCCCAGGATTTATCAACAACTCAGTTCACATATAGTAGTAATCAATAGCTAAGACCCAACTGGTCAAGGTATACTACCACACACGTAAGTATAGTGAAAAGACTCACCTCGTGAATAATAGCTAACACCCAACAACTTACACATTAGGTAGACAAGTACAATGAGACACCTAACAACAATAAAGAAGTACCCTCTCAGTCTACACTCTAAAATGTGACAACCGTCAATTTCTGGCCAAGTCAAAGTCAAACTAAGTCAACGATTCAAATCGGTCAACTCAACTAGTACTTGTATGATAGGACTTACTCTATGTTTACTAGTGTACAACTCTCCATCTTAATAACAAAGTGTCGCTCAGAAGCTTCATATGTTCAGAAATTCTAAACCCTAAGTAGGGTGAGTGATGTAAAGACTCTATAAAACACTATTACGTACCCTTCGGGGGCGTATAACACTCATAACAAGGCATAATGGGGTCTACAAACCTAGCACCACGGGACAAAACACTAACAAAAACTACAAACAAAGTGTCTTTCAATCTCTCTCACATATTCTCTCTCCCAAATCTCTATCAAAATCTATTTCAACTTTTTAAATACTCCCAGGCCATCCCGGCCCTTCAATTAGTTGAAAATCAATCGAAACAGGAAGTTATTGCGAAAAACAGCACTTTGAAAGCAAACCCCTCTCAAGAAGTAAAATTGTGACAACCCGAAATTTCTAGTTTACATTCTTCATTTTTATCAAAGTTAGCTTCGTTTTGCTACTTTATAATGAAGTTTTGGGTCTAAACGAGTGCTTAAAGCTTACAATAATTGAGATACGTGTCGTAGGATGGGTTAGTTTGGGTGTAGCATTGGAAAAATGGGCCAAACACACCAAATCAGGTGTGTGAGACCGCACACTAGTTTGTGCGGCCAGCCATCCACACATAGGCCAACCACACACACCTCCAACCTCACACACCCTCCTATATATACTATCCTTGGTCATTTTGATCATTTCTTACACTATTACAAAGCTAGGACTCGAAAATCCTCTCAAGTATCATCCGGAAAGGTAACATCTTTCACCAAAAACACCAAGAACACCAAAAATACCATGTTTTCTGGCAGCACACATGGCCGCACACACATTCTGGCAGCACACCTAGCCGCACACACGTGCTGGCAGCACACCTGGCCGCACACATGGCCGCACACAACACATATAGTGTGTATTCAGGCCATACACTCTCTTGTATAGCCTTTTAACCCTTCGTACAATCATTTATGGTTGTAACACTTCAATATAAGTGTTTACTAGTCCCTAAAGTGGTCCCAATTCAATACCTAGTTGTTCAAAACACTAATTATATTCATATATGTATCAATATGTGCTAAATAGGATTCGCGTGTGTACTCAAGTCACTACTTGATACATAGCAACAGATCCAACATTGTCATTAGAACCACTCACTACAAGTGAGTTCATACCCCTTTAATTAACCTTTGAAATACTTTTAAATGTTTTAAATGCTTTTATGGGGGGGGGGAGGGAAACAAGTTGAATACTTATAGTTATTACATCAATCACATGTGATTAATAACTACAAAACCAATGATTTTACTACTATTCACACTGTTTATCAAAGCTGTTTTACTTCAAACTATTTTACTTATCAAATACTTTTACTTAAACTTTGTTATACTTATTATAAGTTGCATGCCCATATATGTATAGTTATATAAGCAATGTTTAAAAGGCTTAGGAAGGCCGCACACCCTATTTCCTTTTCCTCGATTTGGATGTGGTCTGGTGGGATATCGGGTAGCCGTCCGAAGGTCGTTTCAATATTAATTATATATCATGTGTACATATATAGTCATAAAAGTTCTTCCATGTTCATATATACTAGTTACATCATCTGTAAGTTACCATCAGGGTAACACAGGATCATACATATACTATTGTTAGATTAATGAGTCAGTTCATTCATGAGTCAATACTTATTACTATGAGAACATATACAACTATACTAGAAAGAGAACATATACAACTATACTAGAAAGAGAACATATACAACTATACTAGAAGGAGAACATATACAACTATACTAGAAGGAGAACATATACAACTATATTAGAAAGAGAACATATACAACGATACTAGTACGAGTAACATTACATTACATATACATGAATACATTAACCATTGTGATCTGTATCGGAGCATGACTTCAATGCCATGGCCCGTGTTGTAGCCAGAGTCTCTTGAAGGGAGAGCGTGAGTTTGCATATAGATCTATACTGGATTGACTATCCTACACCTTGCTGCTAGCTACAGCCGGACCTGCAGGTCTGCGGGTGCCAAACGTCATTTCATTTTACGACCTACATTTGTCGTTGTTTATCCAGTCGATAGTATGGTACAATTAATCACATGATACCTTAATATAAATCCGGTTTAAGGTAGTTAGTACAGCAGTAGTTCCTATAATACAACACTACAGTACTACATTAATTTACCCTTTACATATTTAGTGATCTTTTCACTTAAACATTAATGTACAAACTATATTTTGAGAATGATAGTTACACTTGGGAAAATTACACACTTTTACAGTAAATGAACATACAAAACAGTTACGCCTTGGTAGAAGGCTACTTTTAATAGAAAATATAGGTTTTTCTAAGACATTCAAACTTTTACAAATACTTACAAACATTCACGTACTTATATTACCAATGTTCACAAACTCGTGTTTATAAATGCGTTCAAACATTTTGATACAACCGCCGACACTAAAATACTTATGAACTCACCAGCTTTAATGCTGATAAACTCTTTCAAAATAACTTGTATTCTCAGGTCATCAGTAGACAGGTACCCAGGCCAACTTTTGAGAAGATGGAGGGCATTCAAGACTCATCTTATTATTTTGATTTACATTTTTGGTGTCTACAACTGTACGGAACATGCTTGTATTAAAATTATATATTTAATAAAATGGATGATGTTGTTTGCTTGTTTACTGTTATATTGTGTTGTGATACTATACATGACGTCCTCCGCCCCAGAACGTTTCCACCGTTCTTGGTTTTGGGGTGTGCCAGATTGGTATCAGAGCATTGTTCATAGTGAATCGAGTATATCAACCCATAAAAGATATACTAGCTATAAATACACTGGGATTAAAATACTCTGACCAAGAGTTTATACTTATAAATAATAAAATATTTAATTAAGTATAGAAGTCTGCATTCATACTAAAATCAGTGTCACTAGGACAATACAAAAGAATGACGATTGTTGAACAACACAGGTGGACTTAGAGACATATAGACAAAACTGGGAAGATATAGCCT